CTGTTCATCCATCACCACTCATCTCTAGAAGACTTATTCTTCTTCGTTGGAAGGATCCACATCCTCCAGTATATGGTCATTGGTTAAGAGAAGTTATGTCTTACATTCATTTAGAGAAGATTAGATATACTGTTAGAGGATCTGTAAACAATTTTTTTTGACATTTGGCAGCCATTTACGTACATCTTATGTAGAAAAAATTTCAGCAGAAAACGTTGTATAAAGTTTAAATGTTTCATTGTACCCAAACCTGTTCATTGTATCACTTGTATGAATACAAGATCGATTTTTGTTGTTTCAGTGGATCCGGTATAGGAGGGCGTGGGATAGGAGGGATTTCGGGTGTTTGTGTTTTTGTTAGTTTTTTCTTGTGGATTATGTTAAAAAATAATAATAAAAAAACTTTGATCAAAATAAACCAATATTCTACGATTAATTGTAAGTTGATTTATTGTTTGCATCCCTATTCTGAACTTAATGAAACGAAATCGAATCGATTTAGAGAACTGGCCATACCCAGCCCTAATCAATATGAACAAACAATAATTTGAACCGTGTGCGTTCAAATCACACACACARTCATGCGGCTCCCTCCCTGGTTGCTCAAATCTCTTCCTGCACATGCTCACCTCCCTCTCCCCCTCCCTCCTAGGGCTGAACGATTAATCGCATGAACAGCATAAGCACCAGGGTTTGAAAAATCGTATTGCCCGACTGCCCGGGTCAGAAAATAAAAATCACACACACTCACGCGGCTCCCTACCTGATTGCTTAACTCTCTTCCTGTACACATGCTTGGCTCCCTCCCTCCGTCCTCTCAACTTTACTTCTCCTTGTGCAGCAGCCCCCCTCCGCTCAACTTCTCCTGTGCTCACTCCCAGCTCTGTCTCTGCGCTCGCAACTGGGGCTGCAACTAACGATTATTTTAATAATCAATTAATCTGTCGATTATTTTTTTCAATTAATCGGCCAAATCTTTAAAATGCTTGATTATATGAATATGAGTAGATATAAAATAATTTCATTCCTGTATAAATTAGGGATGCAAGTTATTGAATAATGAATTAATCTGAAGTTGATTTATCTTATAGATTGAAAACCAATTAAAGGCACAGTGTGAAGGAGTTTGTCAATTCTTTTAGCCGAAATTGAGATAATCACTAATGACAATAATAAAAACGTGTCTAATCATTGCAGAAAAAGACCTTGTTTTAT